CTGCAGTTAAACATGAATACCCCACGCAGAGCGCCAGTCAGGGTAACGCATGTTAACTGACTTACTTCATACTTCGGTTAACTCATACCAAATTTGATTAACATATTGTTGACTGAGGTTATCACATTTGTGGCAACCAGGGTTGAGTAGATTCAACCTAAGGAAACCAGTGTTAACTTGATAATATGGATGAAATACAACCTTAGACACGTTACAAAATGGCGCGTAGACCATCAACTATAGATGCCATATCATTAAAGTTAACAAAGCGACCTAGAATGAACGATCATCTAGTGCTTTACTGTTACAATATAAGCGGTCATGTCTTATGTATCACTCAATCACGGAACATATATTTCAGGATATGAGAAAATATATTTTTTAGGCCCAGCAACAACATTACCGATAAAAGTGAAGGCTTGACTGGTTAGCTGTCTATAAGTGTTAGAGCAACACGTGTCGTTAACATGGCGCATACTACATTGGTTGCTGAAGACCTATTCTACCCGGATCTTCACGGGTCGATCTTTCATGTAGTCGAGTCTTTTTTAACCATGTGTGAAGCTCTACCCCTTATCTTCACGGGCCGGAAGGTAAATTGAAAAAGAGCCTATTTTGCATGACGTACACGTAGAAATGGTGATTGCATGGGCGCCTACATACTAAAACCGATGCACATAAGACAACGTGCGTGCGTGTGTGCGTGCGTGCGTGCGTGCGTGCGTGCGTGTAGGCCCGCTTATACTGGTCCGGACTCGTGCCGGTTTTATAGTGCTTGCCCACTGAGATACCATGCCGCAGCTTTAACCACGGATACCCCACTCACACCCACTGATCGATTTCACGCCGAACAGTCCTCATTTTAGACTTAAAGCCGAGGGGGCACGGATTATGTTTCTAGGTTTATCAGCACCATACCCGTGCTCGTGGGTTTCACCGAAGTGGTAAACGTCTGAGACCTGCATGACTTCGGGCTTTCCTCCCACATTATGCTGACACGCCGCGATATAACTGACATACTATTCAAAAGGGCGTTAAACCCAACTCACTCACTCACACACGTAATGCCGAGCACCGAACAGAGTACCAACACGTACCCTTTTTAACCTCTTCTGGCGAAGGGGGCGGTCGGGTAGCCTAGTGGTTAAAGCGTTCGCTCGTCACCCCAAAGACCAGGGTTCGATTTCCGACATAGGTACGATGTGGGAAGCCAATTTCTGGTGTCCTCCGCCGTGATATTGCTGGAATATTGCTAAAAGCGGCGTAAAACCAAACTCACTCACTCACTCACTCACTCATACAGACCCTGAAACAAATATTTCCAATGCAGCTCATGCGAGACTATACTATTTGCAAGTCTAGATTACTGCAGTTTCTAGCTGAAAATGGAGAGAGAATCTTGTCTCCTTTTCAAAATATTATTGAACTATTATTTAACAACTGTTTTTTTTATAATATGTTCATTCAGAGACAGGGGCGGTCGGGTAGCCTAGTGGTTAAAGCGTTCGCTCGTCACGCCGAAGACCCGGGTTCGATTCCCGACATGGGTACAATGTGTGAAGCCCATTTCTGGTGTCCCCTGCCGTGATATTGCTGGAATATTGCTAAAAGCGGCGTAAAACAATACTCACTCACTCACTCATTCAGAGACTAGTTCTCCGTCTAGGTGAGCTTCTGTGATGCCCTGTATTACCTGTATGTATCATCCGTCTTGTACAGTGAGAAGTATCCATTGTATCAATTGCATTGCACTATAATTTGCCACAAAATATACAAATAAATGCATTGATAAATATACTGATATTTTGTAAAAAATGTCCCCAGTCCAAATTCACTTTTAAACTGTGATGTATGAATCTGTGATGTATGAATCTGTCATATCTGAATCTGTGATATATGAATCTGTGATGTATGAACCACTCATATATGAATCTGCCATATATGAACCTGTCATATATGAACCTGTGATGTATGAACCCGTGATATATGAACCTGTCATATATGAACCTGTGATAAAGAAGTGTGGAACAGAACATACCTTAATCCACCCCCACCAATCCCTGGTTAAAGGGTCATCACTGATCACTGACCCACACACCTCATCAACAAGAGAGACTGGCCCGGCTGGTGGGAACCAGCACAAACTGAAGGGAAAGACCCATGAAGATGTGTAGTACTAATTAACAGCTCTATTCACCTAGTTCGGGATGCACATGCACATGCGGATGGAAGTCGGTTAGCGCCCCTCTCCGGCGATATGCAGCGACCATAGCTGAAAAGTCTGTATCGCCCTCGAGGATTGCGCTATACTGTACTTAATACGGTTTCAAGCGATAAGTCGCAAAACAGACTGAAGATGAACGTCATATGCGAGAACTGTACTGAACCGAAAAGTTAGGGATCACGAATAGTTTTGGGAATATGTTTATGAAAGTGTGTGCTCAGTCTTCAACACAAACGAATATCCCTAAAATATTCATGATCACTATCTCTTTTTGTTTTGTATAAAACCCCTATGATTATGGGTTCGAATCCCGGTTCGACCCAAATATGACTCAAGGCTAGTCGGAACCATACCCGTTTACGTGGGTTTCACCTTCCGTAGGTAGATGCTCATGATGTCAATCACTGGATTGTCTGATACAGACTCTATTATTTACATACCGCCATCATATAGCTGTAATATTGCTGAGTGCGGCGTTAAACAACAACAACAACAACAAGTGTGTCCTATATTGTGTGTCCTGAGCTCTAAGATAAGAGGGGGCACGGGTGGCCCAGTCGTCTAAGGCGCCGCGATTCGCTGTGCAGAGTTGCGTCCCTTGGGCACGCCAGAAACCTATGATTGTGGGTTCGAATCCCGGTTCGCCCCAATTATGTTTCTAGGTTTGTCAGCACCATACCCGTGCTCGTGGGTTTCACCGAAGTGGTAAACGTCTGAGACCTGCATCACTTCGGGCTTTCCTCCCACATTAAGCTGACACGCCGTGATATAACTGGAATACTGTTAAAAGCGGCGTTAAACCCAACTCACTCACTCACTCACTCTAAGATAAGAGAGCATATGCCAACGACCTCCTTGTACATGGAATACTCGTACTTGTTTAGTTAGTGATACTCTAACACCGGCTGCTCGTACACAGTACATTGCCCTTTACGTCAAGCCATTCTTTACTACTAAATAATAAGACAGGGACATCTGGCCGCAGTGGCTGCATCCGAGTAGCGTCACAAAGCGGCCTCAGTGCTAAGTTGGTCGTAACTCCCATACTTTACCATAGGCTTACGATCAACGTAGCACTAAGATCGCTTTGTGGAACAGGGCCCTGGAGAATAGAAGAACGAATCCACACGGATGCTGCAGTGGGTTAGACCTCTGTTGGTGTCGTCGGTGGCAGTGAAATGAACAGACGCTTGCCATGACGACGAGTGAGTGAGTGAGTGAGTGAGTATCGTTTTACGCCGCATTTAGCAATAGTCCAGCAATATCACGGCAGGGGACACCAGAAATGGGCTTCACACATTGTACCCATGTCGGGAATCGAACCTGGGTCTTCAGCGTGACGAGCGAACGCTTTAACCACTAGGCTACCCGACCGCCCCGCGATGACGACGAAGCTCTTTGTGGTGTTGACATAACCTCGAGTCCAGAATGGAGACATTCGTCACCACTCGCCCCTTTCCGTAACCTGGAAGAAGACTCGTCCCCCTATCGATGAATGTTATGTGCGAAAAAACGACAAACCAATCAGAATGCGCGTATGATTTCAAGTTCTTCGTCAAAAAATCCTTCAGAAATAAGTTTTGATTTTATATATGTCTTGCATCTTAAAATATACCCAAGACACAGTTAAATGTGTTCAATCCTACTGTATAATTTCGCATGTCCCGTTGTGCTGTAACTTGCATCTGAAATATATATATAATTAAGGGGAAATATATGTGAACCATTTCGCAAAGAGTTGACAATTGTTTTAGGTATGCCCGTTTGCGCTAAGACGGAATCCGGTCGCAAAAATGGCCACGAGAGGGGCACGCCTCGCTATTCGGCTTGTCCCGGAACTACACGAGTTGGTCACGAATGGAATGGAGAGTGTCAATGCCCGTTGGTCGGCTGTTTGCCACGATTGTGGTTGAATGGTACACATTCGATCACGGTGACCGGGAAGGTGATTGTAGCGTTGGAATCACACCTGAGACCGGGGTGCACCGCGGCCTTGGCGGTGTCTACTGAAGATAGTCCTCATGAACTTTAATGCATGGATTTCACTGATACCCTTTGAGTTACCCAGAGTGGACGGAAGGGCCGTTCCTGCTGCTCCTCCGACTTGACGACCGATGACAACAGTGGGATGGTGAACAAGTTGATAAAGAGTGATGACGTCCCACCAGAGACCAAGACGAATAGCACCGTGACCGTAGTAAATGGATCATACTGACACAAATCGCAGCGGCTCTCTGATCTGTCTCTGTTTCTTTCTCCTCCTCTTTCCCCTTCTCACCTCTCTCTCATTTCCCCTCCCTCTCTCACATCTCCGTTTCTCTTTCTCCCCTCCCCCTCTCTCTCTTTTTCTCTCTCCATCTATCTCTCTCCCAAAGACAAATTTAAGCCACTTATTCATAAGTAGGATAAACAAATCCTTAATCTCTCTGTTCCACCGTTTCTGTCACTCACTCTCTCTCCCTTCTCCCTCTCTCTGTCTCGCTCTCTTTCACATTCTTTCTCTCTCAATCATCAACGGACATCATATGCGACAAATATATTGAAATATATCAGACATGGAATTGAATTTATGCGCCGACGCTTTCCACCACAAAGCTACCTCAACGACCCAATTTCTAAAGCCATTTGTTTGAGATCAGCTGTATCTAGTAACACCACGATGCGCACCTTCTACGCTAATACATTTTAGTCACGTCTGTCCTATATATGTGATCTGTTTTAATACGTCTGTTTGAACTAAGTAAAGAGAACATACGTCCACGACCTACATGGACTATTTACTGCTCAGTTAACCACATACTACTCGCATCCAACATGTTTATGTAGTCATCCTTGTCTACGACATATTTATGCTGGGAACATTGGCGGCAGTGGCTGCATCCGAGTAGCGTACATGTGTTATCATGTCGGGAACTGGAGCCGACAATACCCGCGATTATGAAACTGTACCCAAAGATTCAGTTTGTCTTTGTGAAAACAATGACACCATGTCCAAGGTATTAACTGACAACGATGATCTGAATGTAACCATGTTGAATGCCTCAACTGGTCATTGCATTCAGAACGACGAACATAATTACATCTACGTCACTTCGAAGGACACGGGCTACGCATGGGTCGTTTGTACGGGTATGTACCACAGTTACTTGAGTACTGGTATTATGTTTGTTTTATTCATTGTCAAACTCCACAGTGTAACGGGAGTGTGCAAGTAACTGGTATATCAATTGCGTTTATTTCGAGTTACACGAACCGCTTATTTATCATATAATGGGTAGGTTTCTCGGCAGGATAAAGCCAACGGATAAAAACGATATCCGGTGGGGTCATATGCGGATTGAGATGCAAATATCAAAGGTCAAGTAGGGACTACTTTCAGTGTTTACAAACGAACATGGCGTCGCCCTGGTCATTCAGCGATCGAGTCAGAATTAACCATCGGGAATCTGGAGAAACTACTGGGATAATTGCTATCATTATCAAAAGAACAGTCTAATATACTGAAAAAACAGTGTCTAACTGTGACATACACGTCGCTAAGACTTTTTTACAAGTTTTGGCAACTTTTGGAGATATAAATTGCAAAACAATTTTGCGAGGGCACGAGCCAAGCGGGATCACCTTCCATAGCTATCCTTGTAGACCTCTGCGGCTTGGAACCTTTTCCACAAATTAAAAACAGTTGGATTTGGTCAAAATATGTTTCATAGACTACGTTTAGAGTAGCTTCCCTTTGATAAAGGGCAGTTACACTATCCGACAGACCGATGGATAGCCGCAAATGGCAAGTAAAAACATTTGTGTAGGAAATTGTTGTTTGCATGTATGTAGTTACGCGCAACTGTATAAGAAACATGTTTCAGTTGGAACTATTTTGGCTACTGTCACTGACACATCACTTACCCTCTGACGTAATAAAAAAAAATTATTCCAGGAAGATGTGCATGTTTAGGTAATGTCTATGAGATATGGAAAGAGATTTTGAACACAGAATTGAAGAATGACATCATATGATAAAGAGATTATCACGCTTGTGTGTTTGGGGATGGTAAATATCCTGTATTAGGAATAAACACCATGTAAAATGTTTATTCCTTTATACAAGATATTTACCATCCCCAAACACTCGCGTGATAACCTCTGTTGATTCCATGAGAAACGATGAACGCAGTGTGATTACACACGCAGTCCATCAAACCACCGATCCTGAATAGAGACATCATAATTAAACATTGAAATATGTTTAGCTTATTGTGAATTATTCATGTTTATCGGACATGCTTATGGGACATGTGACACACTTTATGCTTTGAATGCAAATAAGAAGTCATCTGGAACAGTTTTTTGAGGAAATGTTATACTCATTTGTTTAAAAATACCCAATCGATTTGGCACAAGGGAGTAAACATAATTATGTTGATACCTCAAAGATAAATACCAATATCCAAGAGTGAGTGAGTGAGTATAGTTTTACGCCGCTTTTAGCAATATTCCAGCAATATCACGGCGGGAGACACCAGAAATGGGCTTCACACATTGTACCCATGTCGGGAATCGAACCCGGGTCTTCGGCGTGACAAGCGAACGCTTTAACCACTAGGCTACCTGACCGCCCCCCAATATCCAAGAATGATTACGAGTAAGAATATAATAAGTGTTCAATACTTAAGCGCTGAAAAGTGTTCAAAGTGATGTAAAACCAAACTCACAAACTCACTCACACACTATTATTTGGTAGCATACCTATTGTACTCTAGTGGTGCACAAACGATGCACCTACCAAAATGTGTCATTTCCGTTGCCACCATTCACACAACCTTTCCCCGTCCTCGGTAGAAGTACATGTAGCCCCGAGCACAGAGGCGACTCAATGGATCGGATGGCCAGATAGTTGCTCGTTATATCAATCACTGGATAGACTGGTACACAATAGTCATTTACAGGCCGCCGTTATGTAGGTTTTGCATGAAACAAACTTACACTTAATTCATTACGAGGCTCGGAGTACGATTTGTTGAACAGACTGTACAATATCACATCAGTGTGAGTGAGTGAGTGAGTTGGGTTTAACGCCGCTTTTAACAGTATTCCAGTTATATCACGGCGTGTCAGCTTAATGTGGGAGGAAAGCCCGAAGTGATGCAGGTCTCGGACGTTTCCCACTTCGGTGAAACCCACGAGCACGAGTATGGTGCTGACAAACCTAGAAACATAATCGGGGCGAACCGGGATTCGAACCCACACCCATAGGTTTCTGGCGTGCCCAAGGGACGCAACTCTGCACAGCGAATCGCGGCGCCTTAGACGAGTGGGGCCACCCGTCCCCTCTGAAGAACAAACAGTGAGCAATACTTCAACCCTATACCAATGGCAGGTTAATAATTATACTAACTACCAGTAGACAAAGGACATATATCACAGGGTTGGTATTAAATATAACAAGATTAGTACGAAAATATTGAATAATAATGTATATCTAAGCATTGAAGCCAAGGTTACCATAGCAACCAATGCTGGAGCTCATGGTGATTTCGGTATTTTTGCTTCAAGCTAGAAACTCCACCACGATCTGTGCTATCCCTTTAGTCAGGTATATAGTGTTGTTACCATGTTCCACCATCTACCTGGGGCTCATTGGGATACATTCCAATACATTTGCATCCTCATCAGGTTTTATGCTATGGCATACTGCTGCCTTCTTCTGTATGATAATGTCTGTCTTTGGTTTGCTTTTCCGCAAATATAACATCTACTCGATAAATCGCAAAGAACAATGAAGAACGAAGCGTGGTTTATTTCACGACAAAACAATGTTCTATCATGACGTCATTTCTGGAGATTCGAACGTACGCTCGCAGCTTGATGACGTCGTCCTGGACGACGTTATTTTTTTAGGGGGAAGTGTCTGTTTGGTTCTCTCCCAAAGATGTGGGTGGGCAACGCAGCGCTGCGAAAGGCAATGGCAGAACGATAGCATCCGAACGTGGGAGAGATATGACAATCAGTAATTGGAGAAAAGGTACAGATGATCGCCGTGAAAATTGTGGGCCTGTTCAGGAAATACTTAATTCCCCTGTTCATGAAATGGACTTGTCCGACATTGCCGAGGTCGGATTGTATTCAGAGAGTCATCATTATGTAAATACAGGTAAATATTTTCACAGCCTTAAAGAGCCTGTACATAATACTGATATCTCATATGAGAAACAATAAACTCCCACTGGTCATAAATTTCTTAACTAGATATCACATGTATAATCTTGCAACAAGTATCTTGTATGAGGATACACACTTGACCTTCCATGTTTATCCCCAGCCGTCTTCTTCATGCAGCTGATGAGCACAGGCTATTTGCGTGTCTTTGGCATCCTGTACTTGGCGTTCCAGGAAGAGTTCGCGTCCTCGGCGTCAGTCACAGCGTCTATAATGGCCGTCTACGCCGTCGTCTTCAGCATCATGTGTGAGTCACTGTATCTTGTATGTGCTTGTTTGTTCATTATTTGCTTAAAATCGCGTTGCAAAGAAAACCGTAGAACGAAGTGTGGTTTATTTCATGACAGAACATTGTTCTATCATGACATCATTTCTGGAGACTTACAAATATATGTATGAATTCATTTTCTCTTTTTTTTCTAATTCATCTATTTAGTTTCTGTTGCAATTTAATGTCTTATTAAACTAAAAACACAGACATTGGCTACACAACACTTAATAGTTGCCAACTAAACAATGAGTAACAATTTGATGAAAATATGTCTAAAATATGTTTGTTGGCATATATTGATGCAGTGTACTTGGTCGTGTAATGTTGTGTTAACTCCTCTTTAAGGTTAATGCAAGTGGTTTGTTAAAACATTTATATCATGTTTATCAATGTTTAATACATTTATTGTGTTATAGTTCTGTGCTGGATAACCTATTAAGACAGCGTCTTTAGTAATTCGTATTTGACCTGTGTTCTATTTAATATCCATTTCCTAAATCTATCCAAAGAAAGCTCACCTTCCTACACGACTGAAATATGTGTTCAATAGTTTCTTTCAAATCTGAACATAAGCTACATAAATTGCCTATGTATCACATCTCGTGCAATTTATTGTTTGTTGGTAAAATAAGACGCCTTCTTGATGTTGAACCCATTGGAGTTTCGAGTTGGTAACACATCTAAAAGGTATTAAGTGGTGGTTAAACTTATCTTTATCCGTCAACGTAATTGTATGAATATATGTATGAATTCTTACAACGAACATTGTTTCCATAATTCCGTCAACAGGTAGCACCATATGCATTTGTAAAGCTTAAAGGTCATGGGAGTGTTTACTCGCCATAACGATGGCCTGGGTTGTATTCCCAACATATGTTAAATGTAGACCCATCACTCCCGCCGTACCATATATTGCTGAAGCAGTGTTAAATGCGCGTATAAGCTTTTGCAATGAAATGTCAAACAAGTCAAATCAATTATAGACAGTCCTATCATGTTTTCAAAGCCCTGTTCACGTGCAACATCCTCCTGGAGAAGTTGTCGGCAAGGACGGTGACGTTGGCTGGAGGCATCCTGTTTGCTCTAGGTGTTGGGATGGGTGTCTTCGCTCAGTCAATCGGCTTCCTTATGTTCACGACCGGTGTTTGCGTCGGTAAGGACATTTCTTTCTTTCTCGTCCATCTGACCAACCTTGGGGATTGCTGAAAAGAATCCCTACAGTCATGCAAGTGAGTGAGTGAGTGAGTGAGTGAGAGAGTGAGTGAGGAAATAGCAATCTGCAGCTTTTTGGGGCGAAAAATGTCTAGATTCCTTCCTAATGTGCACAAAAACAATATAAGTGATGTCGAACATCACAAAAGTCTCAGTGACATATACTTTTCAAATTAAAATTTAATCTGCGAGAATGATGGGTCTAAGACTTACCGTAAAACGACACGCAATGCTGAACAGCTAAGAATAAGTCTCTTATAAAAGTCGAAAATAGACTGTCGGTTGGTCCAAACTGTTAAAGAGGAATTCCTTGCGGGGAAAACGATAGCTGAATAAAGACTACCACAGCTGTATTCCAACATTTACTTAATTCATAAAGTTTAAAAAAATATTTCGTGTCGAGTTAAGTGAAAATCTGCTGTCAGTTAGTGCCAAATTACTGACACTCAAGGTAGCTCAAACATTTCCACCTATGAATGAAATATTTTGAACATAGAAATTGAAAATAGTGAGTTAAAACATTTCTGTCATTTAGTGATGTTGACTCATAATTAGGACCCAATTGCGTAGATCGATGCTCATGATGTTAATCACTGGATTGTCTGGTCCAGACTCGATTATTTACATACCGCCGTGATATAGCTGTAATATTGCTGAGTGCGGCGTTAAACAACAAACAAAGATTATAAAACATAATAAGGAATATTTCCAACTTGCAGCAACTCCAAAGCTCTCTTGTTATAGAACAGCAGTGTAATATTACTTTAACTCACCCATTTATCATTAATCCAACAGCTTTTTGTCACATGCTCGCCTTGAATAGTTGCAAGCAGGATTTACGAACTCACTCTTGGTAAGACGACACAGTATGATTGCAAGAGATTCACACCATGCATTTCATCTAACATTAACATATGTACGTGTTCTATACCCTGTAAATACTTTCAGGAATTGGCAACTCGATGGTGTTTGCGCCAGGGATTGTTTTTCTTGGAGAACATTTTGAAAGGCGCAGAGCACTGGCCATGTCGTTAGCATACAGCGGGGGTTGTATTGGCGGCATGGTGTATCCCCCGTTTACGCGGTACATTCTGGACATTTATGGAGTGAGAGGAGCCATGTTGATATTGGGAGGGCTGCATCTCCACCTGATACCAGCTTCCATGTTATTCATCAAACCAAAGAGGAAGAGGCACCCTGACAACTGCAAGGATGCAGAACATGGTCAGGATATTGACATTAACCCAACTACCGAAAATAAAATCACCTCGAATGAATGTTTAGTGCGACTTAAAGTCGGCCAAATGTCGCAAAGTATGTGTGATTTGAAAAGTATGTTTCAAACCACATATCAGCCTGACAAAGAAGTCCTTACGTTGAACTATGGTTTCACAAACACCAATCTGTCAGCTTCTTTACCGTCGAAGTTGAATGGAAAACAAAACATGGAACATGACCAGCAGTATGCATTTGATTCGAAGTCAAGCCCTGTAGACACTAGCGCCGCTAAAAGCAGAAGAAGCATACTTGTCAAGTGTGGCAACATGATGGACACGTCCCTGTTCACTAATCCTTTGTTCTATGTCTTCATGTGCTTCCATCTATTCAGCATCGGTGTAATGTCATATCCATCCTTCCTCCCATCGGTTGCCATGGAAAATGGAATAGGCGATGGACAAGGTGCTCTCCTTGTCACCATCCACGCTGGACTTGATCTGTTCTGTAGGACATGTACAGGATTCATAGCTGACCAGGGATGGTTTAAGAGACACAAAATATTGGCCGTGGCCTTTTTTATATTAGGGACACTGTACCAGTTTGTCCGCTACTATACATCCTTTCCTTTGATGGTAATGTACGTGGTCATGTTTGGCATGTTCAGTGGGTCCTTCTACTCCCTGCATCCCATCATAGCTGTTGACTTTTTTGGGGCAGAAAGATTTGCCAAGGTCCTCGGTTATGTCCAGTTTGCACATGGATTTGTAATCACAGTCAGTTATCCAATAATAGGTAAGTCTTGTCATTTAGTCTGAAAACGATTTTTTATGCCTGTCCGCATTGAACAGTTAATATTGGCAATATTTCACAATCATTTGTTTAACGCCGCACTCAGCAATACTCCAGCTATAGACGGCGGTCAGTGTTTAATCGAGTCTGGACAAAATAGTCCAAGAGCACCAAACCACGTCTTGGGATACAATGATATGGATTACTCGCATGATCATCGAGCCTCACCACTTGATCCTCTTATGGTTTGGACCATTGAATATCCGGGGTAGAATAGGTCTCCAGCAACCCATGCTTGCCGTAAAAAGCGTCTGTGCTTGTCGTAAGAGGAGACTAACGGGATCGGGTGGTCAAGCTCGCTGACTTGGTTGGTGCATGTCATCGATCCCAATTGTGTGGATTGATGCTCATGATGTCAATCACTGGATTGTCTGGTCCAGACTAGATTATTTACAAACCGCCGTCATATAGCTTGAATATTGCGGCGGCGTTAAACAACAACCAAACAAACAAATCTTATGGGTTGCTGGGAATGTATGTTTTGTAATCTTTTGTTCTGTTGATAACTCTTTAACAATACGCGTGTTTCAGGCATTCTCCGTGACCTGACCGGAAACTACATAACATCGTGCCATCTCCAGGGGGCGGGGCTGTATGTTGGCGCTGTTTTGCTGCTGATCAAACCACTCACGAGGAACACCTAGTCATCAAATTAATAGCAGAGTGCAAGTCCGGAAGCATTCTTCATTATCCAGTGTATTATATGGTCATTCTATTATGATAATTGGGCGGTCGGGTAGCCTAGTGGTTAAAGCGTTCGCTCGTCACGCCGAAGACCCGGGTTCGATTCCCGACATGGGTACAATGTGTGAAGCCCATTTCTGGTGTCCCCCGCCGTGATATTGCTGGAATATTGCTAAAAGCGGCGTAAAACCGTACTCACTCACTATTATGATAATTACTCTGAAATGTAATGGTAATCAGTTATTATCGTCAATCATCATCATATATTCATCATAGTATAACGAATGCGAATGTATGCAGCACTCTGTTTGGCTAAAAACGATGTTAAATTGGACGTTTCACTGCGTATGAATACTTTTCATTACGCAAAATTTTGAAAAGGGTCAATTCGGCTTGGCGACATGGATAGCACTTTAAATATTTTTGTTTAAAGTGTGATGGATATCTATCAGACATTGACAATCAGACATTTGTTACACAAAACTAAATGTTTTCAAAAAGACATCAATAGTTACGTGTTATATGTACATACATAAATTGGCATTCAACCTCTATTACATGTTCATGTGTGTGCAGTCTGGCTTCAAGGCAGCAATGAAATCACGAAAAATTGGCCTGCGGTAGCCAGCTCTTTTCCACGTACAGGAAGCTAAGCGCACCACCCCAGTTCCGCACCAAATATCAAGTGCATGAAACTATCTGTGGTCACAGTCAGTATAAGTCAGCATGTCAAAAAGGACAACTCTAAATATTGAAAAAAACATGGTCAGTTTTATCCAGTGGGTGAGTGTAGAGTTAAAAACATAAAAATCCTACACAAAATCCAACAATCACAGCTGTCAGATTTCTCAGTCTTATTACAATCAAGCTGCTTGCTCGAACAAATGACTGATTGGTGTAGTAGAACCTGTAGACAAATTGGAAAACATCTCCACAAGGCAAATCTGTGATTTATGTATGAAGCTTTTCAGAAAACAAATTGGTTAAACTTGAACAGCTTCTTTTCTATCCATCAGTTCAATATGGCAAGATTTGATGAACAGAAAGCTGTAAGAGCTTCAACATGTACATTTCAACAATGTTTTACAAAAGGGATTTCTGTATTAATAAAGAAGTTTCATGATCTTACACGGATCACGTGAGTTTTTTCATATTTATTAAAAGATGGGAGTTATGGGTGCATTTTTTAGGCTGCCTAGATCATATCACCCTAAAATATATGTTCCACTATAAAAAAAGAACAAATCTTTTAACCTTAAAACCAACAACAATACATATTCGAAATTCATTAATGGTCAGTTTTTTTCCCTTCCTGTGCTGACATCATCGGATCATAGCAGAGTCTGCTACATTCATGGAATATGGTTTTGACACTCATGACATAATGTGATTGAGATTGAATGAGTTTGCTCGAACTTACACCCCTGCATTGTTTTATATCATCAAACACTCAAAGAACGTTCCACCTTCGGAAGGTCGGGGGGGGGGGGGGGGGGGGGGGGGTTCAGGACAGAAGAAGTCCCCATATCTGTAAGTCTGGATAATGAACGTTACCAGAACGTTTGAAGTAAAGGGATGGATTGTGGCCAACGTGATCCCTTTTAGAGCCGATGAAAGGAAATGACCCCTTAATTGGAAGTACGCTCTTTGAAACCACAAAATGAAAGGACATTACACTCAAGTTCAGACTTTGCAATACCAGCTTAAAAGAGAGTTTCTCACCAGTAATTGAAGGGTTTACAAGGGACAGAAAGACACAATGCATGTTACTAAACGGGAAAAATAGTAATATTTAAACTGTCAAATTGTTCAGCGTTGAATTCAGAAGCATTATGTTACATTCACAAGAGCCGGTGGATATTATTTTCTTTTCTGGAGCTGCTTTATCCAACTTGTTTCATGTATGGCAGACTGAAAAACTGCACAATGAGGCATTAAGGGAGCACTGTTAGAAACTTCTGATATGTGAGGTGACCTTATGATGGAAGATAATAGTGAGCAACCGTGGGCCTCAACTGGACTATCAAAGGCCCTGTACTAGTTTGTTTGTTGTTTGTTTGTTGTTTAACGCCGCACTCAGCAATATGACGACGGTCTGTAAATAATCGAGTCTGGACCAGACAATCCAGTCATTGACATCATGAACATCGATCCACGAAATTGAGATCGATGACATGCATCAATCAAGTCAGCGAGCCTGACCACCCGATCCCGTTAGACGCCTCTTACGACAAGTATAGTCGCCTTTTACGGCAAGCATGGGTTGCTGAAGAGCTATTCTACCCCGGATCTTCAGGTGGCAGTTTCATGATGTGGGCAGCCATATCCTACACAAGTAGAACCAACCCGGTGCACGCACAAGGCAATTTGACAGCAACACACTACTGAAATGAAATTCTCCAACCTCCCCTGCAGTCAGATTTGGCTTTCATCATGTCAAGTTTGACATTTCACGGATATTTGCGTCGTTTCAGAAATATCATTTGAAATAAAGTCGACGTATTTGGAAAATATACCTGTGCGTTTCTTTTTTGGTAGTATCTATTTGAAAACAAATAGGATAGAATAAGCCATACAAATATGTAAACTCCGATGGAGCATTAAAAACAGATTTTGGCAAAATAAACACTGGTATTGTTAAATATAAAACAAAGCTTGTCGATATCAGGTTTCTCTGAAACAACTGGGAATGTAACACCACATGCATTAAAATGCTGCTTTCTGTAACTCAGTGAAACAACACACATCGTCTATTAACTCACAACATTGAAAGCCATCCTCCGTTATACAGGTGTATTTTCATACCGGCCAGTTTTTATTCTGATTGGGCCTCTCCACATCTAAACGTAGCAAGCTCCAACCTTAGTGGGGATATTGTTCGTGGCATCAGCTGCAGTAGCATACATCTGTTTATATTGTGTATATATACCCTGTAAATTTATTCACACCATTTCTTCCTTCCTCCTTAATTAACGCAGCTTCCACCAAGAAACATATTCATTAAAACATGTTTAGAACTGCATGTGACCGCACAGCTACAGTGCTCAACAGATGTAGTCAACAAGTCTCTCAGGCAAAATGAAATATATATCAAGTCTTACACCCCCACCCCACCCTATCAACTATGTTTATATAACATTTCTAGCATAGTCTTAAAAAGGTCGTATCTATCCAATTATTTACAACATTATGGGCATATTTCAGCAGTCCTAAGATGAAACGTCCTGTTATGAACAGCATTCAGGATTCAGAGTAGACTTATCCTTACTTTCCGAGATGGCTACCCCATAGTTGAAGACCCACCATACCATACTGTCGTACAATTAGGAATTGGTTTGAAAATACATACCGTCTATACTCTGAAACTGATTTTGCTGCTGCGGCAAAGTGTAATTATTTGTGAACAGCAAACCTACGTAATCATAATTATTTAAAAATTCTAAATGCTCCCAATAGTAAATACATGCTTCGTTTGTTGGACAGACAGGTTTCTATAATGTGCAATTTTCTGTATTTATTTCTAACATATTTGTACAACGCCATGATATATGGAGAACATCCAACAGAAGGTGAGATAGGTCTGGTCTCAAACATGAATACAAATAGTCAGCATATCGTTAACATTGTCCCAAGGTTAAGACTACCTAAGTATTTACTACTGCATCACTACATGGGTTGATTATTGGAGGTGGCAACAGCCAGACATGTTGAAGGTCTCGGTTTACTGAGAATAAGGATCATGGATCCATAACGTCACATGTGATGCGTTCACGTGCGGCGATTCACACAACATACCAGGATGTTCGTTTGTGAGCCGAACGAATCTAATATCTCTTGAATATGAGTAATGCTTCATATATTAACCGAAATGTATGGTATTCGCCTTTCTTTTGTCGGTGAATGTATACTGAACAACAAAAGTTCCTGTGACATTGAATAGGATTTACTGCAATTTTATTTACCAAATCTGAAACAATTTCGGTTTGCAACAGATAAAAGACCCCTGTAAGTGTTCAAATGGTGTAATTTGCCATATTGACTTCAGAAAATGCGTGATTTCATAAAAAAACATGAACATGCCAAAATGTTAATTTACAAATCAATAGCGTGTGTGTCCACCTCTGGTTGCGATACAAGCAACACATCTTCGTCTTATGGAATGGACCAGGCGTCGCAAAAAGTCCTGTGGGATATTCGTCCATTTCTGCTGGAGCATGTCTCGAAGTTCCTGGAGGGTCTGTGGAACACGTGGTTGACGTCGAAGGCGCCGATCCATCTCATCCCACATGTGCTCGATTGGTGAGAGATCAGGGGAGCGAGCCGGCCAGGGGATGACATTCACGTTGTTTTGTTGAAGAGAATCCTGAACAAGTCGAGCAATATGAGGCCGGGCGTTGTCGTGTTGAAAGGTAATGCCTGGGCCATGACGACGCAAAAAAGGGTGAACAACAGGGCCGATTATCTCGTCGCGGTAGCGCTGTCCATTGAGATTTCCCTCTACCACAATCAAACGGGTCCTCTGTCTTGCTGTAATCCCACACCATACCATGACGCTTCCGCCCCCGAACCGATCTTCTTCCATGACACAATGATTGACGTAACGTTCACCTCGACGTCGGTACACTCGAATCCGTCCATCGCTGTGGCTAAGGTGAAAACGAAAGTCGTCAGTGAATGGAACTTGTCCCCACTGCATGTTCGTCCAGCGTAGACGCTGTCTACACCACTGTAGACGTGCTTGACGGTGGTTTCCTGTCAAAATGGAACGTCTGGTGGGTCTTCTGGTGACAATTCCTGCACATCTGTGGCGGCGACGTACGGTTTGTGAAGATATTCGTCGAAGGCCAGGGATGTTTCTTGCAGTCACTGTTGCTGGCTGGAATCGATTACGTAGGTGTGTCGTTCGAATCCAGTTGTCTTGTCGATTATTGGTTACGCGTGGCCTGCCACTCTGAGGATGGTCTCTGACTGCATTCGTCTGTTGCCAACGTTGCCATAAACACCAAATGGTGTTTCTGTGGACGTTAAATTGTCTTGCAACATCACGTTGACTCGATCCTGCTTCAAGCATACCAATGGCTCGCAGACGCTCATTTTTGGACAGGCGTGG